ATAAATTTGCATTGATTTGCATTGATATTTGATACAATATGTTTTACTTTCTAAATTCCTAAAATATCTGCATAATAAATCATTTTATTCGTTACGTCTTTTAATAGGTAGAAACGAAAAAATTTTCTGTTAATAATTATAACCTGTGCAAAATTAGTTTGAAAAATTATAAGAACGTTTTCTATTGCATTGCATTTTCGATGATCGAATTACTCGCTAATAAAAATATTCCTCGATAATCTCTGTTGTTGCTCTGACACGAATTGATACTATATTTCTATGCTTTCAGAAATAAGAATTGTTACATGATAATACTCAAAAAGTTAATGTTAAAAATAAAGTTCTGAATGTGTTTAGTAATGAAGCTCTAAGGCTTGGTGTGGACGAGCGATTTGTGGCAAATTCGCCGCGACGGCAAGCTTTGTAAGAACCTTAATTTATATAGGACAATTTACACGGGACGTAAATTTTAATGGTAACAAGGCAACACACGTAAGTACTGGATGACTGCGAACGAAGAGAAATGATTGCCACATGGTGGTGAAACAATACGTTATTCATTATTTTAGATCTGTTTTTGGACGAAACGTCTTTGTGGTAATTTGAATACAATGCTTTTTAGATACGAAAGTTAACGAAAAATTCGACGGCAAATTAACGCAAATCATTCGTGTGAATTGCAAGAAAAAGTTGGATGTGTAAACTTGGCAATAAATGATCGCGGCGGCAAATTTACCGTAAACCGATTGTCTGTACCGTGCCTAAGGACATTATGTTGAGGAGAATAATGTCAAGTTGCTAATAAATATTTTTACAATTTCCTTATTTCTTGAATTACGTATAACGGACACATAAGTAATAATCACACATAATGAGTTTAATTATCTTATTTTCAACTCGATTCCAAAACAAATACACATAATTCATATTTTAGTACCGGATACAATTAGATTATTCAAAAGCTGACTTTGTTTAAAATATATTTTTAACGTTTTGATGACGGTGAAATTAATAGAATCCTTTATACAGGTGTGCAACAAAAAATAAAAAACTATAAAATTTCTTTAATACTACGAAAGAATAGATTGCAAAATATACCTTAAATTCAGCTTCAAGTCTTTCCAATTGTTTTGCACTGTATGCTTGACGTGGTTTTCTGTCGATTCCCGGCTTTCTGGATCGTCTTCCACTTGGTTTAGGCGCTACGACAGAAGTATTTCATTTCTTCAATATTCAAAGGATAAGAATAATTTCGTCTGATTGTAATCGTGAGAATTTCAATGAAATTAAGTACGTTAATCAATTATTAGTCAATAATCTGAGATGACACAGTTGATCATAATAGATCTGCCCAAAGATTTATAACTATGGTAATAAAAAATTTAACATTATAATCATGTTTCTTAATTGTTTCACTAACTTCGTCAACTTGTACTCAATTACCACTTTCTTTAGTTCGGTCTGTTCATTGGATCGTGTCTAGAGTTACCAAGCGTGTCTAAAACATTTGGGATTGTTTGAGGAACGTGTGACATCTTACTGTCAATATGAGGCAGAATGTGGTAAAGAGCTGAATAAACAGTTTATACCGAGGAACGTTTCGATGTGATTATCAGCATAGTGCAAAGAAGTTCCACACATTTCCGTTCAAGGGGTTATATGAGATATTATACCGTTGTTAGCCGCATTTAGATAATATGACACTGCGGTATATCTGACGAAAAAAAAAAATATACAAAGAGAGCTAATTAATTAATTATAATTCTGAAATTTTAATGGATATTATTTTAAATATACTTATCGTATATAAATAGGGTAAGTAGCTATAATAACAATTAAACTTTGTGAACTTACTAATTAATAATGAAAATAAATAATTTAAAAACTTTAAAAATACAAAAATATATAAACATAGTTTTAATAAAAAATTCACTATTTAATTAAATATAAATATCGATATATTATATTGATATTTGATATTATATTTTCTGTTTGTGTTTTTTTTTAATAAAATTTTATTGGTTGAAAGAATTTGATTTCAAGCGTGTAAGTGGTATAATAAAAAGCTTTTCACTTTATGAAGATGAAAGTAAATGTCAAACAGGGCCTGTAACGGATATTTTGAAATTTAACGATATGGTTTCCAATATTTAGTGAAATCGTAAAATGATTATGAAGGTTTCTTGTAAAATGGTTATCCTCGAGTTCTGAAAATTCCGATCACTTCATGTAGGAATAGAGACTTTTTTCTGTTTTCTCTTGTTTAATGTTCAGTTAGCTACACAGCCCTTACATTCTAAACCAACAAATAGATGTCGTATGTTTGCGCAAGACCTTTTGTGTTTTCTTGTAAATCTTTCGTTGTATATTGGAGACTACTACAAATGAGAATGCTTTGCTTCTGTTTACCTACATACCTACAATTTCCTTTCCTGCCATGTCTAAATATAACATTTTCATTATTTTCATTTCCATAAACGTAGAAATATGTTTCTTCGAATGGACGGGATTGAATACAAATGAAATTACAAACGGAAAAGTAAAGAAAATGGGAAAATAACAAGATTTACGTCAAAACAAAAAATAGAGGATGATAGAGATTTATCTTTATGTCTTTTAGTTAGCATTAGTTAACATATTATATATTTACGGCTATGTTTCTTTTGAATCGAAAATCATATTCGAAGAAGTTACTACGCTTGCACAAATTAATTGATTTCCATGTAATTCCATTTCATTTTCTTCATTTCGGTTTTTTGTTAAAATTAATCACGTTTCTTAGAAGTCTAGAAACTATTGGCCAAAAAGGGAACTTAACGACGAAAAAAGAAAACTGACGAAATAAAGATTTACGAGTGTACGGAGACATTTAGCACTTCTGCGGAAGGTAGTTAGAGTAACGTCACTGATAAATGGGCTTCTAACAGCATGGCGGATTGTAGCGAAAGAAGAGAAACAACGATGGCGGATTGAAGTCTGTGACAAATATTATTCTTATTTTTCAATAAAAGCTTATTTTAAGCTTATTTTTCAATATCTAATTAAAGCTTTCGATTTAAGCTTATTTTTCAATATCTAATTAAAGACGTACCGGAAGTCAGGAAATAGAGAACGTACTTACGTATTAAATTATCAATAGTTCATTTACGTTTATGTATAATTATCATCTAATCAAACGTGCGAAATTGTATTGCGTAATTTGGAAACTTTTTTTTTTGTACGTAATTTGTCTAGTAATTCTTCTAGTACAAGACTCTTCAAAATGCATACTTCGTATCGAACAGCAAGCAAATTTCTTGCACAAATTAATTTTAAAATGTTGAAGAAAAGAATAAGGTTAAGTTAATCTAATACACAGAATTACAAAAGTTTGACGTTAAATATTTTACACCTGACCAGTAACACACCGAAATTAAGCGGATACAACACCCTAGCTGTTAATGTGACGTTCGCGTGTCGAAAAGCTGTTACTACAGACGCCTTGAGTAATCTCCAATATTCTCTTTGAACCAAGAAAGAATCTTCTCGGCATTGTTCGCGAAAATGGAATTACGTCGATAAGTTATTACGAACAGATAATTAGAGTCTTTTATCATAAGGAAATGAAATTGCTTCTAAACTTCTCATGTATTAAAAAAAAAAAAAAAAAAAAAAAAATTTGGTAAGTTAGAATTTTCGGATACCGTAGTAGAAATACAATGCGACATTGCACAATTTATTACTCAGTTTCTAACATAATTCAACGCGTACAGTTAACGTATGTACACATATGTATATGTACATATTGCAACGACTGATATAACAAACTGAATGAACTTACCTTGTAGACCGAACAACTGACCAGGCTTCGACTGAGCAAACCAATTGTTATATAAAATAGATGCAGAAGCAAGGGACGTTGCCGAATAAGCAGAAGGATCTGATAGTGTGACTTCGGAACACGATAATCCCGCTGATGTGTACAATCCTGTATTCATATTTGCAAAAGCAAATGATTTCCTTCGAGCATTATGATAAGTGAACATTAATACTTATACATTTGAGTACAGTAAAACATCGTTTCCTTCATATCTTAATTTTATAAAGAAATATTAATATAAACGAGGTTTTACTGTATAAACCAGATAAATATTTATTCGATCCTGCACAGGAATGGGAATTTCTTTCTCGCGAACTTTTATTCTTAATAAGAAAGTATCGTACTTGATTTCTATGAACGATTGAATGTATAGAAAGATTGATAAGTATTTTAGAATTCTTTCAAAACTTTAGAATGTTTAGAACAATAAAACGATTAAGTTAACATGAATTTGTTTACGTAATGAATAAAAAATATATTATCTATTACCTTATTTTTGAATGTGACATATAATAATCGTAATAATGGTAATAATCATAGTTATAGAAGATATAGCGTATACTTTATTACAATTCTTTTACCGGCATACGTAGCAGATACAGCTGTTGGTCTGATAAACTGATTTCCTTCCATTTTTTCGTCTCTTTCTTCTTGATCTTCTTCCCTGTCTTGGGAATAATTTAAACCAGACGGTATTTCGATATCTTTCTTTTCGCATCTTCCAAGAATATTATCAATTGTAAAGGCACTAGACGCAGCGACCGGTGATGAATTTTTTCTTTCCATCGGTTTCCGATGGATCTCTTTGTAACTTTCACTGCTCGAATCGGATGCACATTCCATTGTGTCTTGACTATTTGGCGACTTCACGAATCTTTCGCGATTGCTCCTCGTTCGTTCGTAAACATTGTCAACAATGTGAATCTTTTTGATATCTTGTTGCACGGAGGACCGTCGGAGGTCATAGATTTCCTCGTTCACTTTATTGTAATTTTGATAAAGCTCCATTGCCAGTAATGTCATTGAACTTTTTACTTCAGGTTTTTTACCCGATTTACTCGCGCATCAAAAATGCTTGAAGGTATTAAGCTTGATTTACAAATTGCATTTCACGACTGTTCCTCAAAATTGTTTTACATTATACGCATTTCTCGTGACAATCGCACAGTAAACTCCTTGTTTAAAATCTTTGTTTCCGATTTTTATACACGATTCGTTCATGATTTAACACCTCTCGATGTAACAACAATGTTTTTATTGTATCGTTCGTTAAAGGTTAAACGATTGCGATCCGATGCATTGTTACTTCAAAACACGATATTCGTTAAACTTATTTTCGGCTAATTTTTACGCCACTTTACGCCACAAGATCAATCTACAGTTAATCTCCTTCTCAACCATTCGAAAGCAAGTACTTCGAAATGTATGACAGGTGGCACGTGCCTGTGGTCCAGAAGAACCTCCCAGCATCCCCACTATCTGTTCCTGAGGGAAGGTCATCCTGCGATGCTGGACTAACATCTCGCGCCAGGAACCCCCACTCGTTTCTGTTACCTGATCGGAGTAGGGGTCAAAAGCTTATTCACACTGGTTTAACGTTGCTTTACCATCATGCGCGATAAATCGATAGAATACCTATCCGGCTGCTAAACATTTTCGGACTTTCCCTCCTTCGCGATTTATCTTTCAGCGTTTTGTATGCTCTTCTGTAATCATGAAAAGATCAAGCTCAAGGAAGTCTCAAGCTCGTTGAATGATCGCATCGAAAAAAGACGAAGTAAGAAATAAAGTTTATAAATGCACCGTTTGGATATCGTGCTTTGTCGTAAAAGATCGACTGCAGCATGGTACTTTAAAGGTACTTTAAAGGTACATGGGATTGTCTTTCTTTTATTTAAATTTCAAACCTTTAAGACCACCGATAATCTATACTGATAGTTTCCCAGTAGAAGATGGATCTTCAAAATCTTCCGAAACTTCAGTTCAATTCGATTTCCTCTGAAATGTTGATTTATCTTGCGATATTACTCCGAAAATGATGCATGGCCAAATGTGAATTTCCATTTTACATCTGATGTTATTATTACGTAGCTTCGATGTAAGCGTATTGTCATTGTCATCTTTACATACGTTGTCTTAGGAAATATCTCGGAGATATTATATATTAAGTTTAATAGGATGATATGCGCAGTAGCAAACTTCATCTACCGAAAAAGAGTTCATCAGGGATCAGAAAGCGAGGCACCGATTGGCTCTTAGAGGCGCATGCTCTTCCGTAACGTCCGCCTTCTTCGACCCCTCTATCTCAGGGCTTTATGTCAGCAAACTAATGGTTCCTTCTCTATTCCATATACACTCTGGCAATGGATAAACGCTTCTGCCATACAGAGAGCGACGTGAAAAAGTACCGCAAAACACTTCTTCACGCGTTTACTAAACTCCTCGCAGTGGTTCTCACTGGCACAGGTTTTAAGTATTTTATCAATATTTCAAGTAGTAAAAGGAATCTTTGAAATAAATAAAGTTCAAGTATCTATATGAAACTATAGCTAACAAACTATAATAAACCTAGCCAAACTAAAAAAAAGTTAAAAAAAAAAAAACGGAGAATAAATTGTACTGAAATGACATACCTTCTTATTTATTCGTTTTTTCTTTCATATCTTATCCATGAAATTTCTAATTTTATCCATTTAATTTAGAAAGACCTTCGTCATCGCTTTCAGCGTAACGGAAGGTTTTACAATGTCGCAATTTAAAATGATCATCGTTTCAAGTCTCTTTGCGAAATTATATGCATTTGTGCGAGAATAATACATTTTATTGCAGACCGTCAAAATAACAATTAATTACGAATTAAGTTGTAAAAAAATTTGAGATTCGCGGCTTCCCTTTACAGGTCGAAAATGTTGAATTTTAGCGAAAGCGACACTATTAATTTCTGATCAACAATCGATCTGATAATGTTCATCTTTACATATCTATCAAGATCTACACTGAAACTGCTAAAAAGCCATTGCCAATAAAAAGCAGGTTCAAATACGCTAAGTACATAATCAATTTTAATTTTAGCTTTATTTGCATAAGAAAACATATTCTTCTTGAGAAATATTCTATTAATATATTACGAGAAGAACAAAGGAATAGTGTAATTTTTTTTTTATTTTTTTTAATTTTTCAAACCAAAAGCGACGGACTATTGTTGACACGTTCGTTATATAATAACTAATAGTTCGCAATTAATGACGAGAATACAATGTTTTTTAGATTATTGAATACAGAAATATAGTTACGAATTCATAAAGGATATCGATACTCTTTATGTGTCGTTTATGAGCATACTTGAGCAATTTAAGCGTGTATAGTGACGAGAATAAATATTGAGTACCGGTTACATGAAACGAAATGCCGTGCATCGTCTTTTCGTTGGGTGCGAAAGGAGGAAATAACGACATGGTCGACGAACACGGAATTTCATGGACATGTATCTACGCTTCTTCCAGGAAACCATTATGGGCCCTTAAAACGTCTTTCAAAATATTTGGGATAAAGATCATCATTCATTTTTGCAAGGGTCGGGTAACAATTTGCGTCTACACGACAGAACTGACGTTTCGCGTACTCCTTAGATCATTTAAATAGATACCAGAAATGTATGTAAATAAAATTACATAAGTAAAACTGTACTTGAACATGTTGCGTTACACGTATAGGAAGCGATTACTCGACGAATGAAACTGTTATATCGTTTGTACAAAATTCAGTGAAAATAGCTGAACAGACGATCGTTCTACCGATACGAACTTTACTGTTGCGTTTGATGCATGCTGCGCCGCGTAATTGAAACGATCAATCAAACACCTGAGAAAAGGAGGGTGTACTAACGTGCACCCACAAATTGCCGTGCAACGTTTTCACACGCGGAACGAGGAGTTTATCGATGCCACACCCTGCTGCTGCACAGGGATAAGATGCACGTGAGGTATTTTGTGAAAATTTTTTAACGTTTGTTGCTAATGCATATCAGAGTTTTAGTCACATGTGCTCTAGTGAATTAGTCTCTGTATTTTTCACGATGAAATTTTTATAAACGTTAGACGATACTTTCGTGCATTATGTCTACACCTATATATACTTATATACTAAAGCTGATGTGAAACAGAGTACTTATTTAGTTTCTTTTTCGCAAATGGTAGAGAAATTATTCCTCGAGAATAATTTTATTACGTGAAAAGTATGTATCTTAACGTTGATATAAAATCGTGTTTAATTTTTGACAAAGTGCAATATTAAATAATTCTTTTTATCGAGTTTAACTTTAAGGTACTTTACTGTATGCTGAGCAAAAGTGTTAGTTCCATTTCGAGTGGACGTAGGGGATTAAGGATATTGCGAGAATTCTTTGAAAACTGGGCGATTAATTTTCAGTAACGTTCATGTATAACTGGTTGCCATTGCTATGGACACAGATATAGCCACTCTTGCGAGATATTAGACAGGTGAGCGAGTTCCCAGGGGAACAAAGCCCCCATTACCTCATCTCGCCGACCCATCCAAACCATCCCGACAAACCCTCCGCTCCTAAAACATTCATAAGAGCGGTGTAAGTGGTTTTTAATAAAGTGGTATTTAATCATAGGTGTCGGATTACGCGTAAATCAGTTGGTAGTACCGTCGGCCGATGTGAGATTAAACATGTGTCCAAATATATGCGTGTGCTCGGAAAATCCATTCTGTTTGCATGGGGGATATTTATCTTAACGATAAATATATGTTTTTTTTGTTTTTTTTTTTACTAATTTACAAATTCACGTATTTCACAAATATCCATATTTCGTAAACTTACTTTACTTTGAAAGTTTCTTACTCAAAAGGTTGAATTAAATACGTCAAAAGCATAATTAGTACTGCGATCAATCATGAAAAACGAATTAGATGTGAATGCAATATGTGGAGCGTGCCTCGCTAAAAAGACTAACTGTTACTTCAAACAGAGAAATTTGTCAACGCCATTTAAACACACACGTACGGTTAAAGTAATTATTTCTGGCAGTTGAATAGTTGTTTCCAGCAGCGAGTTTCCGTTCTCTCAGTCTTCTCCGTGCCACGATGATATTTCCTTCGTTCGCAAGCTCAAGAACATTGTTTTAAATGAATTCGTTTAAAGAAGTACAATTTATCGGGCTGTTCGTTTGGTTCCTGACAAAGATTCACACAAATTCTACGCAAGAATGCTTCGACGATGGCAATGAATTTTGTATCGACGAAAACGACATACTTTCCGTAGATCTTTTGCCTGGGTCCTTTTTATTTGCAGATCAACAAGTGAATGATAACACAACGAAGGGACGAAATGTCCCCGAGGACGCATCTATAGACGGATCT